GTTAGTTAGTTAGTTAGTTTGTTTGTTTGTTTGTTTGTTTGTTTGTTGTTAGCCCCCCTTTATTACCCCAAAAACTGCTTTATTTATTCATTTTTTATACCAAACTTACATGTGTCCAATAATGCCGAACCTGACAGAGAGACAGGGAAGAGGTTAGAGCAGTGGAAAGAAGAGAGATCCTTTAGAAAGAGAGAGAGGGGGGGAGAAAAAATAAATAAAAAAGAAGAAGAAAGAAAGAAAACAGTGCTTTTGATTAAGATCATGAAGGTAGTGATGCATAAGACCCTTTAATCCCGAACCTGACAGGGAATTGTAACTTTCCCCTTTTCTATGAATGTTAAGTCTTATTGATATGTAAATGATATTTGTCATCTGGCAAACATGTTCATGAATTTACATTGTATACTTTATTTTTAATGATGTGGACCCCAGGAAGAGTAGCGGGGTGTAAAGCACAGCTAATGGGGATCTTGATAATAAATAAACAAAAATAAATAAACAGGGAAGAGAGAAGAGTAGTGGAAAGGAGAGAGATCCTTTAGAAAGAAAGAGAAATAACTAACCAACCAACCAACCAACTAACTAACTAGCTAGCTAGCTAAATAAACAAATAAATAAAAGGAAAAAGAAAGAAAGACAATAAGACCATACAACCAGCTGCTGTCTGTAAAAAGGACTCTGATCCGAGTGGAGAACCTGTAGGAGCTCCTGGAAAAGGACTCAGGGAAGACAAAATAACAAACAAGCAACAAAAGAAACAACACTGGTAGCTGGACATTAGTGAGCTTCTCTGGACAGAAACATTAGGAGGTTTCCCCCCATTTATGATGAGTTATCATCAGAATGAGGTTCAGAGAAAGGGGGCCCGGGTCTGATGGTTTTTCTCCCTTTGTAGATGAACGTAAACGGGTCCCACTTCATGGATTACCGGCATCGGATCCCTTTCCAGCGGGTGGACACCATCATTGTGGGAGGAAACGTGGAGATTAACTCCATCGGCTTCCAGAACCCGGCGGTGAGAGGCCGGAAACCAGCATTCAGGCCGCGTTTTGCCTCCTAGATGTCACATCTGGGGGATTTTTTTGTGTTTTTGTCCTGTCTTCATGGTTGTCTTGTCATTTCCTGTTTTATTTTGAAAGGTACATCCCCTTGTTTCAGACCACTTTCACTCC